ATATTTTCCAGGCCCTTCTGGTTTTTAAAGTCTCTGTTGAGAATTCAGGTGTTATGTTAGATCTGCATGTGTAGGTTTCTTGGTCTTAATCTCTTTAAACTTTCAATGTTCCTTCTTTATGCTGTATGTTTAGTGTTTTGATTATTATATGCTGATGGGAGTATCTTTTCTTGATTATTATGTGCTGAGGGAACTTCTTTTCTGGTCCAGTTTATTTAATGTCCTATAAGCTTCTTATACCTTGATAGGCATCTTTATGCTAGGAAAATTTTCTTCTATGATTTTATTGAAAACATTTTCTGTGTCTCTGACAAGATTTCTTCTTCTTCTTCCATGATTGCTATCATTGCCACATTTGGTCTTCACATGGTGTCTCACATTTTCTAGGTGTTTGGGGCCAGGATATTGTTACCTTTAACATTTTCTATGACATTATCCATTTCTTTTATTATGTCGTTAATACCTAAGGTTCTCTCTTCTATTGTTTGATGGTAAGACTTACCTCTAATATTCCCGTTTAAGTTCCTAAATTTTCATTTCCAGATTTCCCAGTTTGGGTTTCTTTTATTGACCCTATTTCTACTTTCAGGTCATAAACTATTTTATTCATTTCCTTCATCTGTTAGTTTGTGTTTTCATAGGTTTTTTTCTTAGGGATTTATTCATTATCTCTTTAAGGACATTTATCATATTCATAAAGAAAATGAGCTCTTTTCCTCATTCTTCAGCTATGTTGTAATTCTCAGGGCCTACTGTGGTTTGGTGTCTCTAGTGGAGACACATTGTCCTGGCTGTTGTTGAATGTGTTTTTACGCTGCCATCGAGGCATCTGGAATGGTTGTATTCTAGGTACTGATATCTGGTCTTGTCTTTGTTAGATGGATATCTCGCTCATTGTTTTTTGTTTCCCTTCCTGGCTCATTGGAGGGTGTCGTAGCTGTGTGTTTCCTGGTAGAGATTTTTTCTGGGATCCTGGTAGGTTTAGCTACTGGTAGTTCTGGGTAAAACCAGTGTTTGTAGGTATTGAGAACTGAATTAGAATTGGTTAGGAGGAGGATGCTGAAGGAGTCCACAGGAGGGAGGAAAGCTTAGTGTTCCACCAGGATGTTTAGTTCCCAGGATGGTTTCAGAGGGTGGAGAGGCCACAGCAGATAGTCTGCTACAGAGTGGGATAATACTGACTGGGGCAGGAGGGGACATTAAACTCACTCCCCTCCTTAGGGTCTATGTTGACATATGGGTCAGGGAAAGATCATAAAACTTCCTTTGTTCAAACCTAATGCTTGGTGCCCTAACTATAAAAGGTGGATTCTGAAACTAACCTTTTACCATAGCCATCTCTGGCTGTGGTCTCAGCTAGCTGATAAGCTTCTGTGCCCCGCGGTGTTTTTTTTTTTATTATTTTTTTTTTAATTTTTCATTTTTAAGTTTGCTTCTGGTTTTCCTGGGATATGGTTTCTGGAAAAAAAAGTTTGCTTCTGGTTTATTAGACTTGGTGGTGATCCCATCTTTACGCAACCTCCCCCTGGACCCCAACAAACAGTTTTTACCGGCTGAGTCCTGTGTTTTGATTACTTTAAAATTCCATTCTTTACTGGAAACTATTTTTAGGTAATGTATTGTTTTTCCTTTTTAAAATTTGAATTCCTTATTGACTCTCTGGGAGTTTCACATCATGCACTCCAATTCTGCTTACATCCTGATCCCCCATATCCTCGCCTATCCCTGTTATGCCCCTCCACAAAAGAAAATAAAACAGTAAGAAAGCAAACAAAGTTACAACAACAACAACAATAGTACAAAAATTTCTTTGTTTCTCCTTCTCCTGCCTTCCCAGTACCTCTTTATTCTTCCTGGTGTCATTCCGAGCAGTGTACCATACAGTGTGACCTTTTCCCCATCAGTTCTACTGTCAAATGCTCACTGCAATGAGTCACTGGTCTGGTTCAAGGCCTCTTGGTTTCTGGTACACCATCCTCACTGGATCCTCACCAGAACTGGGATATCCTGTGACCTTCTCTGGGATATCTTATGGTGCCCCCCAGTCTTGGAAATCTTGCAGATATTGTTCCACAGGTCCAATCCTCAGGAGCTCCAGCAAGTCCTAGAGAAGGTAAATGCTAGGAGTCAACCCAAGGCCCAGCTGTGAGCCTGGTCATTCTGGGCCACAGCTGCCCACTGCCTCAGGCAAGGGGGCAGAGTCAGTTCCCCTATGTGCATGCCCTCAGGGTTGGTTCAGCCTCTCCTGTGGTGAGGGATGGGGGTTCCTTGAAGGTCAGGGCCAAATCTCTTTCTCTAGTGGGCAAGTGGCAAAGCTTTCCCAGGGCATTGAAGGGTGGAACTGATTCAGCATGTCCCTCTGATTTCATTTCTCATGGTTCCTAAGGCCTCTTGAGGTGATACAGGCCACAGACATCAACATAGACCCCAGCTGCAGCTGGACCATGGACCCAGAAGTGTCACCATAATATATTGTATGAATTTTTTAAGTTTAATTTATTAAGCAACTCTATGACACAATGCCCTAGTTAATGTATTTGATACTATTTTACATGATGGGTCTCTTTCTGGGTAATCTATCTACTCACTTTGCCTCTGTTGTATTTTTTCAGGAATAAGATCTAGTTTTGGCACCTGAAGGATTTGCACTTTGCTGGAGAGGTCATAAGGACTTTAAAACAACCCTCTTTATCTGATTGGATCTGCATAAAGGAAGTACTATCCTCCGGTTTCCAGGAAGCAAAGAGCAGGAAAGGAATCTAAAAGACTGATTAAGATCCTCAATTATGCTTACTCAAGTGCAACAGCAGGCATGTGGTTCCTCTGCCTCCACATGGAAGGGCTGGCATAGGTGAGCCATGGCAGATATCCTGACAGCATAGGTCAGCCATGGCAGATACCTTGATAACTCTAAGCCTCTCTGGCCTCTGTTTTGATCTTGAAGAATAGACTGGAGGTGGTCTTGTCTTCACAGACATGAATGGTGCACAATGAGGGACCTGTGGCTCATGAACCTGCTTGTTTGGGATTAGCCAGTCAGTGGCAGCCCTTGTAACAATTCACGATAAGAATGTGGAGAACAGGACAAGGTGTGGTCTTCAGAGAATGAGGAGCTGAATGTCCCATCCCATCCTTCTGGACCATTCTCTGGAAACACTGTACCCTGAGTTTGAAACAGGGAGTGATAATCACAGAAGTGTCAGGAGCTGCTTATATTGTTCAGATAACATCAGGATCCTGGCCTCCAAAACAGATGGGAGTTGTGGGGAATTCTCTTTTGGAGAAGGAGGGATTTTCATGAAAGAGGGAGAAAAATAACTCACATCCAGTCTTTGTAGGGGCCACAGAAGTCGGTCCATTCCACCCTGACTAAAAGAGAGTTCAGGCCTATTCTTGTTCCTTAATGACAAGCGGTTTGACTTAAGGTTTGGCTACTGACAAGGATATCTTGACCTAGGGTGTGGTTACTTGGTGTTTGGGGTATTAAGATGGTAATCACTTTGCTTGTTCTTTGCACCATGATTTAAAAAAAAAAGTCTTTTGTTTTCTTTCCCTCTTGTCAATTGGGATATTAAAAGATAATAAGAAATAAATGTGTGCACATTCAATATTCACTGGATTGCCCTCCCAGTACTGTCCTATGTCTCTGTGTTTCTTTTGTATCTGTTTCTTCTGCCCAACACTTTTGATCAACACACCCTACCCTGGAACGTAGGGACAGTCAAGGCTGGACCCTGACAAGTCACCTTTGCTTAACACTGGGTCAAGAACTGATCAGAGGCCAGTCCCGTTCCTCTGGAATCAGCCTAGAGCAGTCAGGATTGAAGAACTTTGTGTCCACCATGTTTTTCTTGGCACTTTGGGCCAGGGCAACTGAGCGGTGGCTCAGTGGGTAAGACATATAAGGAATTTGCATAAGACAGCTGTTCAAAATGGGGCCGGAGGAGCCTTATTTGTGCATAGAGATACTCCTGAGAATAACCCAGATACTCCATTTGATTTCACACCAGAAAACTATAAGAGGATAGAGGCAATAGTGAAAAACTACCCAGAAGGGCAGAAAGCAGCAGCTGTGCTTCCAGTCCTGGATCTAGCCCAAGGCAGAATGGATGGTTGCCCATATCTGCTATGAACAAGGTGGCAGAAGTTTTACATGTACTTCCAATGAGAGTACATGAAGTAGCAACATATTATACAATGTATAATCGAAAGCCAGTTGGAAAGTACCACATTCAGGTCTGCACTACTACACCTTGTATGCTTCGAGGTTCTGACAGAATATTGGAGACCCTTCAAAGAAAGCTTGGAATAAAGGTTGGAGAGATGACACCTGACCAACTCTTCACTCTTATAGAAGTGGGTCTGTGTAAAGGCACCAATGGTTCAAATAAATGACAACTACTACAAAGACCTAACACCCAAGGATACTGAAGAGATTGGGAAAGTTCCAAATCCTGGGCGTTTCTGTTGTGAGCCAGCTGGAGGCCTCACCTCCTTGACTAAACCACACAAAGGACCTAGCTTTTATGTGCAAGCAGGCCTTTAACATATACTCAACTGTAAAAACTGTCACTGGAGAAATAAAACATGAGCCTACCTGAAAGAACTGATCAGAGACCCAAAAGGGAAAGACCAGAGAAGTTTACAATGACCTCACAACCTCATACTTGAGCCCTGGGCCATGAAGGATCTGTCAGTCTCCATAAGAATGTCTTAGGCCCTGGGGACTGGGAAAGAACAACAGAGACAATCTTTCACCTCCAGAGTGATAATTATGTGGTTTCTTATCCAACCCTGGAAGAAATTACCCATTTTAAAACATAGATTTCCCCGATATAGATTTTCCCAAGTAAGGAGAGGGTCCCCACCCTTGTCATTTTGGCATACAAAATGCTTTCAGGGCACTCCTCACCCATAGTTGCCAAGATAGACTGCTGGGGTTGCAAAACAAACAAGAGTCTGGTGAGGACCATGGGGGGAAAGGCTTTATTTCTCTGAAACCCAGAAGGGAGGAAGCAATATAGGAACAAATTTAGAAACTCCACAGTTAAACTTCAGTACTGTAGTGACCTCGAGATGGAGGACAGGAGGAGAAGGCAGAATAGCAGGTGGGGCTAGGTCTTCTGAACATGGTTTCCTCCTGCACAGCTTCAAGTGTTCTCACAGCCCAGGTCAACAGCAGCCCCCAGACTGCTGGCTGCTGCCACCACTGCTGCCGCCACAGCATCCACTGCTGCCCCCGCTGCTGCCACAGCAGCCACTGCTGCCCCCGCTGCTGCCACAGCAGCCACTGCTGCCACCACTGCTACCGCATCCAGAGCTGTGACGATGGCGACGGAAAGATCTGCGGGGCCTGTGGTGGCTCAGGCAGCAGCCACCACCACCAGAGCTGCAGCAGCCTCCGGAGCTTGAACCACAGCAGCCCCCAGAGCTGGAGCCACAGCAGCCCCCAGAACCCAGACTGCAGCAGGAAGAGACAGGAGGGCACTTGGGGGGGCACTTAGGAGGACACTTTGGGGGGCACTTTGGGGTCTGGCACTTGGGAGGGCACTTGGGGGCACACTTGGGAGGGGGCTGGCACTGTTGCTGGCTCTGCTGGCAGGACATCTTGACTGGTGAGTGCTCGGGAGCTGTGGGAGAGTTACACAAAAGTCAGATCCAAGTTCCAAGACCACCTTGTCCAGTATTGTCTTTTCAGTTTCATTTCTAGTCCCCTCGTGAGTCTTGCGATCAGACACAGGAAGAGCGCATATGAGGTATTCACCACCTTCACCATTTACTGGGTGCTTTGTTTCAGTGTCTCTCACCAAATTCCATTTAGAATCAGTTAAGCAACACAGTCTCCAAATATACCCAGAAAGTTGATCATTAGTGTAATGGATTAAGTGAAAATGCTGCGGAAGAGAGACAGACAGATGAGCATACCACAAGACCACTCTACAGGTCTCTGAAGGCAGATGGTCCTAGATAGGGAGCCACTCGGAGGGCAAGAGTCAGACAGATAGGCATGCCATGCAGAGTGAGATTGGATATGTATTTAGTGGGTTATGGAAAGGAAGGGGAGAAGGGAGAAGAGAAGAAGAGAGAGAGGGCGACAGAGACAGAGAGAGACAGAGAAACAGAGAGGGGGAAGGGGAGAAGTGGGGAGAGACAAAAGCTGCCTCTTGGAGAGGGAGAAGGTAAAGGAAGGGACTCAGGCTGGAAGCTGAAGATCAGATTGCCTTGGTGGAGGTGGGGAGGCTTGGCTTGTCTCTTAAAGGGATAGGACGGATCATTACATTTAGAATCTCCTGAGTGTCTAATCAATGAGCTCACTCTGTCATATCACCCAGACCCCTGAAAACACTCAGGTCAGTTTAGAGGTGAAAAGCTATTTTAGAAAAGAACAAAGGCATTCCCTTTGGAGGAATTTCAGAAATACTTGATTTTGCAGAAATGTAGCAAGCTATAAGTGCAAAAGATGTAATGGTCTGTCCTGTCCCTTTAAGAGAAAGTCCCGCCCACTTCTCTTCCCCTTCTGCCTAGGCAAGCAGCTCTTCCTTCTTCTTCCAGCCTGCAGGCTCTCTCTCCCAAAGAGGTAGATTCTCCTCGTCCCCCCCTCCTCCCCGTCCCCTTCCCTTTCCTCTCATAACTCACTGAATAACCCATACCCAAACCCTCTCTCTGCATGGAGTGCCTATCTGTCTCTGTCTCTCATCCGCCAGGGCTCCTTGTGGGACCAGCTGACCTGCAGAGGTTTCCCACCCAGCCAGGCTCCCTGCCTGGAACCTGCTGCCCCTGTGGTCCACTTCGCCCCTCAGGGAATGGCACCACAGCTGTTTACCATTACAAAAGGTCCTTGAGATGGATTTGTAACCTTCAGTTTATACATGAAGAAACTGAAGAGAAGTGCGGCTGCTGTCCCTGTCTGGTCCCCAGGCAGCCCGTGGAGCCCTTTCCGGACCTGCTGGCTCCTGCACAAGGCTCCCACAGTGTCTTCCTGTTGACTAATCAAGTGGCTCTTTTTTCTTCCCCTAATACCAGGGTCCTCAGTGCATCATTTCCAAAAATGAACATGACTGACTGACTTTCAAAACTGCATTCCAGCGTCCTCTGCATAATCAAGTGGCCCACATTCCTCAAAACCAGAGGGACACAGCAAACAACAGAAAATAATTTAGTCTCTTTCAAAATGTAGCACATCTCTCCAAATACTCTCAGATTCTACCTCATTCTCTACTTTGAAATACCACCTCGCCCCTACTTTTCTCTCATCACAATTCATGCTTCTTGCAGCCTGTGCAGCCTCCCTCCTGCTCTGACCTGGCCATCCTGGAGAATTACCTGCTCCCGTGCTTGGGACACTTACCTGGGTGATACGCAGTACAGACTCTGTAGACACCTCCAGATGTGAGTGGATGGAAGCATTCTGGTCACGTCTTTTTATCCTGCTCTTAAGCCTGTGAGACAGGGCTTGGGCATGGAGGACTGCCTTCCAACGCCCACATGACTTTGTCACAGGTCATGACTGGATGTTCCTCATCCACCGCTCTCCACTGGGCTCAGACTGCCTGCTCCCATCTAGGAATGTGTTTGCATGGTATGGGAGTGTTTGGACAGAAGAGATGGATGAGCCATCCCAGAAGGCCTCTTCACCCTTCATTCCTAAGTTTCCCTCCACCCTGGCAATGTGCTAATACTTAAGGATTCTGGTCCTCCCAATTCCTTCTTCCTGTCCATGCTAGATCAAATTAATTTTTCATCTAGACCTCTGATTATAGTGGCTCTATGTGAAATGCACTTTTGAGGTGTGTGTGTGTGTGTGGGTGTGTGTGTGTGTGTGAGAGAGAGAGAGAGAGAGAGAGAGAGAGAGAGAGAGAGAGAGAGAGAGAGAAATAGTTGTACTACTTGGTGATAATGCTTCTCCCCAAAGCCCATGGAATCCCTAAATAAAACTACCCCAGTGCCACATATGAGAAATGTTTCCTTGAGTTGTTGGTCAGGGAAGACCAAGAGACTATCCCCCAAAACAATATAGGCCATTACCATTACTTTTAGCTGCCTCCCAGAATTTAAAGGTAAGACCCTGTTTCTGAAGGCACAATGAGTTTTGTACACAGGGCTTGGAACAGTCAAGCTGGGGCTCACCTGGAAGCCTCTTCCCAGAAGAGTGGTTTTAATAGTCTCAGAAGTTTCTATGTAAGCTGCCAAGGTAGAGGAACAATAAGTTGTCCCACCCAGTGACTAGACTGGCAAGATACCCAGAACGGTGAAATGGCAGTGCTTTTATCTGGTGGGTAAGCAATAACTGTTTAAATGGACACAAGGCCCAGTCAGTGGGAAGGAATTTATGCTCGGGGACATAAATTGCCTATTTTCTGGAGAAGTTATAGACCCAAGAGGAGACCCTACTACTGCCAAGCTCCTAAAGCAATATAATTTATGACTGTTTTCTAAATCCTTACCTTATCCACAGGTAAGTGTCAAAGAAGCTCCATCGTACAACAGATGGAGACCATTAAAGATTCACAACTGGCAGAAATGCAGAAAACAGGTAACTACAGGATGCCTATCTCAGCTGATACTTTTGCAGCACAATTGCTAAACCTAAGGCTCAGGGAAACTTGTGGAAGAGAGAGTTGAAAGATTCTAAGAGCCAGAAGCCCTGTGAGTATATGAATAGATTGAATCCCCTAGAAATGAGAGGGAAAAGGCAGCCAGGAGTATTTTCTCAATAATATGATTGCCTGAATGAGAAGACCAGCATGATGGCAACACCAGTTGACATGCCAGTGGGGATGAGGGGAGTTTCACTTGGTCACACCCTGAGGTAAAGAGCTTCAGGTGGTCACTGGCCAATTGAAAGAAGGAGCATCAGTTGCCTTCAGGGCTGACCTCCCTCATAGGTCTAATCCAATGTGGTCAGTCCTGGACACATGCAGCACATATAAGCAAAGCTAAGTAGATTCAATAGTGTGTGTGTGTGTTTGTGTGTGCGCGCGCACACACTCACACAAAAGTAATTTAAAAAGAGGCAAGCAATTATAGAGTGAGAAGGCACATAGGAGATGTTGATGAAAGGAAAGGAAATTGAAGAAGTTGTGTAATTTTATTTTGATCGTGTAAAGATAATTTTAAAGAAAAAATATTCAAAGCTACCATCCACACATGAAAAGGCCATGTGGCATTTTGCTTTTCTGGGTCTGGGTTATCTCATTCAGTATAGTGTTTTTCAGTTCCCATCCATTTACCTGTGAATTTCATTATTTTATTTTTTGACACTTGAATAATATTCAATTGGGTAAATTTACCACATCGTCATTATCCACTTATCAGTTGATAGGCATCTGTTTTGTTTTTATTTATTTCTTGGAGGTTGTGAATAGAGCAGCAATGAACATGAATGAGCAAGTTACCTCTGTAGTACAATACATAGCTACTTTGGCTGTATGCTCAAGAGTTATATAACTGGATCATGCTAAATAAGGATAATGAATGTAATCATATATAAAAATCTTCTGTAAAATAAGTATCATTTGATGACAAGTCTGACTTGGGTTAAAAACAAATACCTTCTACAGATCCCTAGTGCTGTGACTGCTTGTTTGCATTTAATGTACTTCTGTTTACTTTTTAGAGCCTTTTTATTTTTAGTGGCTGGTGATTTGGATGGGGAAGAAGAAAGGCCAAGACTTCAAGACTTGACTCTTTTGGATTAGGAATGTCCTGGGGAAAAGACCAGAGTTTCTTCCATTCAGTGTGTTCAAGGGTGGAAGAGGGTAAATGAATTCCGTGACTTTCCTCTGCCTCCAGAAGACAGTATCTAAGAACTTGGAAACATGTTTGTTATAGCTGCCATCTTTGGGATCAGTGATCAACACTGCAATGTACCAGAAATCCATCCCATAGCAGGGTTATCAGAGGATCATTAGGGCCAGTTGGCATTTAGACAAGGTAGTGCTGATATAAGTCTCTGTCATGGGCTGAGATGCCCAATGTTGGTCACGGTAGATGGGTAAAATGATTGGCATTGAATGTCTGGGGAACCCAAGAGTAAGCAATGTTAAACAGTTATTCCTGGCAAAAAAAAAAAAAAAAAAAAAAAAAAAAAAAAAAAAAAAAAAAAAAAAAAAAAAAAAAAAAAAAAAAAAAAAACACAGGA